CAGTCAGATGGTGGTTGGTTTAGAGTACAAAACAAATCGATGATTAAAATTGTAGCACTGGCCATGTTTTGTGCCTTCAGCCGCTGATGAACAGAGTAGCTGCTGATTTGGGATGTTGCTGCGTGACTTTGGTTCTGAGTTAGTTTCAGTTCTAAATGTCATTTGTTAGTGTTTTAATTGAAAGTTTCTTACAGTTTGTCCTCATGGAAAGCCGCTCGGCAACACACAGGGCAGCACACCATGCTCAGCCGGTTCTCCCTGTCCTGTTGGATACGAATGCATCGTCGGGAAGGGTGTCTGCTGTCCAACCAAAGGCAGTAGCATTTGAATGCTGATTTGGCTTTCTCTCATACATTACAATTTCAGAGGTCGTCTGTACCCAGCCCAAAGCGACAGGTGCTTGCCAGGCTCAACAACTGCGTTACTGGTACAATCCGCAGACGCAGAACTGCATGCCATTCTATTACAGCGGCTGTCAAGGAAACGACAACAACTTCGAGAATCTGCAGTCGTGCCTGACGTTTTGTCAAGGGGTTTTCCGTATGAGTTTGAACTTGAGTTTTTTTATGTCACGTGATTGCTGAACAGCAACTTTCACTTTAGCCAAGCCCGTGTGTCCTCAAGGAACGGCCTTGATGCAGTCCAACTCATATGTCTACTGTTCACCAGGCACATTGTCTAATTGCCCAGTCAACTACGAATGCTATTTCGACGGCCAAGTATACGGCTGTTGTCCAAAGAAAGGTAGGTCCGAACTTTTCGTTTTTTTCAATAGATACATCACATGTAGCTTCAGCTATTGTTCAGTGCTATTACCTTTTTTGCTCTGTCTTTAATAGATATTGGTTAACGATCAGTTTATCTCAAAGTTCGATGCTAATGAATTTTGATATCCAAAACTATATTTAATAATAATAAATGTTAGAATCAAAATGAAACAAAGTGTGAGCTTCCACGAGTTGGAACTTTCAATACCACCGGTAGATATAACATTTCAAACACTGATACCGGATTTACACGGCGAAAACTTATCGTTTAAAGTAAGGAAAATTTTCTTTTCACTTGTGGAAACTATATCAGAACATCAGGGTTATATCTTGTTTTATTTTAGTTGTATTTGTCTAGGATAGTGACAGGTTTGTATGCCTTTGTTAAATTAAACTCTGAGACGCAGTCAGGCGTCCAACGCACTGTAGGCGCTTACGTACCATGGAACCGTGGCTTGCTTAAATGGCCTCTTTAGAGGACTATTTTTCTTACATTACCACAGTGTCGGTTTAACATATAGGATTAATTTCCTTTCTTTGCGCGGTACGTTTATGCCATGTAAATCTAGCATCTGCATTTAAAAAATAACTGATGAAGTTCTTTGACAATTCTTCCCGGGGTGGAGAAAAACATAAACTGTAATACTCTGCGGTTTATCATGACGATAATT